TCACATTATGCATTCATAGCTTTTTAGGTTTAGCAGTTAGTTCTTACTTTCAACTTAAACTTGTAACATTTTTTCATTTCAAATAAAAATCAAAAACACTTATTCTATCAAGTTTTCTATATCTTTTACATTTAAGTGAACTGTAATAAAAAAGCTCGGAACCCCTTTTATTATTAATTGAGACTCAACATTTTTGGCACGCCTGGATATTTGTTGTTCAAACACAAACAGCTTCTTTTCTTGGGTCAGTATTTTGTGTTTTGCTCATGGATATTTGTTTTCTAGGTGCTGTTTGTTTGATACCTTTGAATGAAATTCAGCGTGTTTTCTGGTTAAAGAAATTACATAGCAATTGAAAACCTTGAAGTAAAAAGAAGAAGAAGAAGAAGAAGATTAATCGAGTCATGGGTCAAACATTTTAAAGAGACAAATTATTGTCTGGTTTTGGCATCTTCAGATTGCGGGCTGATTACGATTGCTGTCAGTGTCTTCCTTTGCTTCATTATGGGTCATGTCGGTGGTTCTCAAATCAAACCAAAGCTGTTTGTGCGTTGGCCTTTCAAATCCTACGGGATTCCTTTCACTGGGCTGATTACCGATTAGCGGTTTCCTGATAGTCAGTTCAGTCATCCTTCACTCACTGGACTTACCACCGTTTTCAATGGCCCGGTTTATGAACTCGTTACTTTCATAGCTATGATCTGCATCAGTAACATTACTTCATCTTCGACAACGGCGACTCAGTCAGCATCTGTGGATGTCATTTCTGTTCTGCACTTTGGTCTTTCCTCTGTTTGTCCGTTTTTGTTTTCCCCAGATCTGTTGATGTTTTCCATGTGCTGGAGCTGGACTGTTGTGGGGGCTTTCAGTGTTGGTACTAAAAGGCCATTTCATTGTAATCGTTTTGTTTTTCTTTTTCTTTTTCTACGCATGAATTGACTCAGTTTCCCACAAAAAAGAAAAAAGATCTATTATTTTAGTTTTTTAAGTGTAAACTACTTGCAGATATTTAAAATTTTCACTCCTCTTTTATTTTTTAAAATATATGCATTTTCTTACCCTATTACTAAAAAAATGCGTTGCACTTATTTTCCTTGCAATACAAAGTAAGGAAAATTTTATCTGATTTTAATACAAATATTTGTAAAAATGTAAAAATATCTTACCCACACATGTTCATTATTTTGAGTTATCTTTTAGGTTGAACCTTATCATTAAATTTTAACAATAAAGATCCTAGCTGGCCTCGTATTTTCTTTCTTGAAAAATGACAAAATTGAAAATGTTCATTCATAGAAAGTTGAAAATGAGTGAATTCTGTTTACACACACATGTTATAAAAATAGAAATTGAGACGGAGAAAGAATAGAGATAACGATAATGAAAGAATTAAAAAAATGAGAGAATTAAAAGCTTCTTTATTTTGATATATAGAATAGAATTGATGTGTCTTCTACTTATAAACACAAATACATGCATATTGAAGGAAATGAAATAAATAAAAATAAAATATTCACACATACACGCATATTTAAACAATGGATTATGTATTTATATATATTATAAATATAAATATAAGCAAGAAAGAAGAAGCAACGAAATGTGTGTGTGTGTTACAATATATGCGTGTATTGGAAGTTAAGAACAACAACGGGAGGGGCACGCGCGCGCGCAATGCTGGTAATCTTAGGTTATATAACCAGAAATAAGAAATTGAGATATAATTATAATAAATAAAATAAACAAATTAAGGTATGATAGTATGATTCTTGATTATAAAATAACAAAAAAAAATATATAGAATAAATAAATAACTGAATTATATTTTTAAAATTCCCTTTATGTTTTGTTATAGCTTCAAAATTTATTTTATATTTTGTGTGGATAATTTCATAATCTACTTTATAATTTATATGGATAACTTCAAAATTTATTTTATATTTTATATAAATAAATTGTGTATTCATTTTATGTTATATATGGATAATTTAAAAATTCTTTTTTCTAAAAATTATATGTGTGTGTGTAAAGAGGTAAACAAATTGTGTGTGTGTGTAAAAATTATATGTGTGTGTGTAAAGAGGTAAACAAAGTGCGCGCGTGCGTGCATAGGATAAATAAATAAATATAGATATTTTTGGGATCTGCATTATATCATGTGGATATATAATTTTAAAATTTACTTTAAATTTTGTGAATATCTTCAAAATTCACATTATATTCCACCTTATATTTCTATGTGCATATCTTCAAAATTTACTATATATTATATATGAATAACTTCATGATCCATCTCATGTTATGTTAGGTAACTTTGGGATCTACTATTCTGAAATTGAATTGTGCCTCATACTTGTAAATGTGGCACACAATATTTAATTATTTGATTAATTGAGGGAGGAAGAAAATAATGGAACAAAAAAAATTCAATAAATAAATAACATGTAAAATAATAAGAGCACTTGATGATAGAGTCATATTGTTATATATTTAATTGAGTGTGCCTTCACCCCTATTAGAGATGTTCAGTGATATGAACATTAATAATTAATCCACTAATTATAAGCACACCCACCTAGTGATGTTAAGAATAAAGCAATCATACCGAGAATGTGTTCCAAAAATAGAGATTGAGAGGAGGGAAAGAGAGAAAGAGAAAATTATTATCAGAGAATTAGAGTTTTTTCTGTGAAATATATATTTTATTTATAAACACAAATATATCATATAAATTAAATAAAATATATAAAATAATAATAGTTGAAAGATATTATGATAATCAAAAAAATTTAAAAAATTTGAAATGATTGACATTTATATAATATTATAATATTCATAAGATAAGCGTGCATTCTTATTCACTATTGTGAGTGTGGACTAGGAAAATTTTTTAAAAAGAATAAGCTTTTTTATTTATTAACAAGAACAATCACGGGCAGGCTCCAAAGATTCCTTTCAATTTTCAAGCCAAATCATTGTCTCTTTCCGGATAGATATGCACAATTGCACACATGAAACTTCAATTGTGGGTGCTTGTACTGTTCATATATAATTTATATATATTAAATGTTTGCTGAAGTCAAGATTAAATTAATTAATTAATAGATAATGGTTTTTTTTTAAAAAAAAGCAGATTCAATCCCGTGTATTGCATGCATCAATTGTTTATTATGCCCCTACTGCTCTGTTGAGGCCAATGTCCAAAACTACTTTCATGCAAATATGCAATGGCATATTTAAGTAAAAAGCTGATATTTAAATGCTTCATTTTTAGTATTTATAATTTATTGTCAATTTTTAATATTTTTAAACATGATTTTATAATATGAGAAAATTGTGACAAAAAATCACGTAGATAAGTAGATGACATAAAATTTGAGAAAAAAACGCAGGCATAAAATATTAAATGTTTATAGCAAATATGTTAATATTGCAGAAACAATTCAACAAAAAAGATTCCAGAGAATACATGAATTATTCAAGCTTGTAATAATAAAATTTAAAAAATATAGAATTTTCTTATTTAATAAAATTTTTTAAATTAGCGTGCAAAGTTTCTGGTGACATGTTACTGTAGCATCTAATAGCTTTGATTATTGTTGTTTTTATTGGTCGAAAACCAAGTGACAAAACGGGGGGAGCACACTCGATGCGAACGAGGCCTTGAAATATTCTGTGCAGGCTCGGATTTAATTACTTTTTTCTGTTTTTAAAGTAAAAACATATAAAATTTAATAAATCTATTAATTACTAATATTTATAATTTATATTTAAACAGCTTAGTTTAAATTTAATATTATTATTTATAATTTTTAAAAATTAACTATACAGATTTACTCTAAACTGTTTTGAATCTCATAATATAATATGATAGATTTGAATAATAGTGGAAGAGTATGAAGGCATAATCAAATCTATAAAAGCCCATAAGATCATTTTTATATCAAAACTCAGGGATAGAAATAGAACACAGAAGCGTACTTGAATCAATTGTCATGTTTTGAGGGTGTGTTTTCTGGATTTGTTACCGGTGGGAACTCTGTATGTTTCCAAGAAGGGGGACTGGAGAACGTTCCTTTTAACCGACCAAACCAGTGACCACAACCCTTATTTATAGAGTTAATAGGTTTGTGATATTTGTGATTTGACCCCTAAACAAATCATAAATATCACGTTGGTCTCTACACATTTATCCCATCACAATTATACCCCTAAGCCTTTAAACTTAAATCCAAATAGATCACTTTATTTAGACTTAATTAAATAATGGCCACACATTTTAATATATACATGTGTGGCCCCATATGTTGGATTTGATTTCCAACAATCTCCCACTGGGCCACATATGTAAATCTTGATAAAAAAATGTGTTTATCCTTATGAGTTCAAAAAAAAATGTGCCATTATATACACAGGGTATAAACAATCTGGTCTATTGACTAAATCAATATAGGATCAACGAGACTTTTGTCATAAGTACACAATGACTAGGCCTAGCAATGGTCACATATACCAATACAATCAATGACATAGATCAATCATGGATGTGTAGCATGAAAATTACATGTGATGTGACCTATACATGTCTATTTCCAACTGGTCATCCTTACTTTAGTGAGATCATTACTTCTACATGATGTAACAAAATGGAATACGATAACTTAATACTGAATAACTTCATTCCTAATCAGAAAATATACTTTAGCATAAAATAGTCTTGCATTGAACACTATATATTCCCACTATACTAAGATATCCTCAAGCATAATAATACCCATATGAGCAACATGCTCTAGAAAAACCTCTGGTTCCAATCCTTTTGTAAAAGGATCTGCTAACATAGATTTTGACCTAATGTGTTCAACAGATATCTGTCCATTCTGTACTTTTTCTTTTACAACAAGGAATTTAATGTCTATGTGCTTTGACTTAGACGAGCTCCTATTGTTATTTGCATATTGAACTGTAGTTTTATTGTCACAATATAACTTTAATGGTTTTTATATGTTTGTCATAATGCGCAGCCCAGTGACAAAATTTCGCAGCCAAATTTCATGATTAGATGCCTCAAAACAAACTACATATTTTGCTTCAAATGTGGAAGAAGTTGTAAGTGTCTGTTTGGCACTTCTCCAAGAAACAGCTCCACCAGCCAATAGAAAAATGTAGCCTGAAGTGGACTTGTTACTATCTTGGCATCCACCGAAGTTAGAATCAGAATATGCTATGATCTCCAATTGATCTGATCGACGGTACGTGAGCATGCAGTCCCTTGTTCTTTTCAAATAGCGCATAACCCATTTGGCTGCTTTCCAATGAATCTCTCCTGGATTACTTACATATCTGCCTAACATGCCAACAATGTACGCAATATCTGGACGCGTACAAACTTGGGTATACATTAGACTCCCTACAGCTGATGCATAGGGAACCTTTTGCATGGCTTTAATTTTAAGTTGAGTCTTAGGGCATTGATCGAGACTAAATTTATTGCCTTTGGAAACAGGGGTGTTACCTGGTCTGCAATTCTGCATGCCAAACCTGCTAAGGACTTTATCTATATAATTCCTTTGTGATAAACCAAGAATACCTCAAGTATGATCTCGATGTATCTTGATTCCCAATACAAAGGATGCTTCACCAAGATCTTTCATCTCAAAATTTCTTGATAGAAATTTCTTGGTTTCATTCAATAATCCTTTATCATTAGTGGCAAGCAATATATCATCCACATACAAAACTAGGAATATGAAATTACTTCCACTGAACTTTTGATACACACAATTATCAATAAGGTTTGCCTCAAAGCCAAATGAGATAATAACTTGATGAAATTTGTAGTACCACTGACGAGAAGCTTGCTTAAGCCTATAGATGGATTTTCTTAATTTGCAAACTATTTTCTTTGAGTCTCCTAACATAAAGTTTTCTGATTGCACTATATAGATTGATTCATTAATGTTACCATTGAGAAATGCTGTTTTGACATCCATCTGATAAAGCTCAAGGTCAAAATATGCAACTAAGGCCATGATTATCCTAAAAGAGTCTTTCAAAGAAACTGGAGAGAAAGTCTCTTTATAATCAATCCCTTCCTTTTGAGTAAAGCCCTTTGCCACAAGACGAGCTTTGTACCTCTCCACATTACCATGTGCATCACGTTTTCTTTTAAATACCCATTTACAACTAATGGGTTTTGTACCTTCTGGTAATGGGACAAGTTCCCAAACCTTATTGTCTTGCATGGACTTATACTCTTCATTCATTGCATCAATCCACATTTGAGAATTAGTATCTTACATGGCTTGATGAATGTTAATTGGATCATCGTCTACCATACCATTTTCTCCATCATGTTCATGAAGAAACACAATGTAGTCAGGTGGAATTGCATTTCTCCTTTCTCTTGCAGATCTACGTAATGGAGGTGGTTGTTGAGGTTGTTGAGTTTGTTCTATGGGAATGTTTACTTGATTTTCCATAGGAACAATTTCTTGATCTTGGATGGAGTTTTGTTCAACATTATCCTGTTGAGGTTCTTGAAGTACTTCTTGAACAACAATAGGTATAGGAACCTGTATATTGTCAAAAGTAGCCATAGGAATTGGTTCAGGAATTGAAACCAATTCTTCCTCAAAGGTAATGTTTCTTTCTTTATTTCTCCCCCCAAACTCAATATCCTCAAGAAACCGTGCCGTTCCTATCTCAAAGATAGTCTTAAGTATGGGATTGTAAAACTTGTAACCCATAGAACGTTCAGAGTATCCAATAAAGTAACTACTAATTGTTTTAAAGTCCAGCTTCTTTTCTTGAGGGTTATAAGGCCGTGCTTCAACCGGGCATCCCTAAATATGAAAATGCTTAAGACTAGGTTTGCAGCCTGTCCAAAGCTCATAAGGTGTTTTAGCAGTTGCTTTAGTTGGTACTCTATTTAAAATATATGCTGTTGTCTTAATTGCTTCTCCCCAGAGTGATTTTGGCAAGGTAGAATGACTAATCATACTCCTCATCATGTCCTGAAGTGTTCGGTTTTGCCTCTCAGCTACACCATTCATGTTAGGTGACCCTGGCATTGTATATTGAGGTACTATTCCCGATTCCTCTAGGAATTTAGCAAATTGTCTTGGACGTTGCTCACCTGAACCATCATATCTTCCGTAGTATTCACCACCACGATCAGATTTAATGCTTTTAATTCTTTTGTTGAGTTGATTCTCAACTTCAGCCTTAAAAATTTTGAACATGTCCAAGACTTGTGACTTTTCATGAATTAAATACAGATACCCATACCTGGAGTAGTCGTCTATAAATGATACAAAGTATTGTTGACCATTCCATGAAGGCTTAGGAAATGGTCCACAAACATCTGTATGTATCAATTCTAGGACACTTGAACACCTTTGGGCACCTGCTCTCTTAGTTTTAGTTCGTTTTCCTTTAATACAATTAATGCAAACATTTAAGTCTGAAAAGTCTATATCCTTTAAAATTCCAGTAGACATAAGTCGTTCAATTCTTGGTTGAGAAATGTGACCTAATCGCTTGTGCCATAATGACCCAGATTTTTCATGGTTAATTTTACACTTAGTACCACGTGATGACACGTGCAAGGTTTCTTGATAAGATGCAATCGTGTCAAGTAAATATAAATTATCATAATATATTAGAGAACCAGAACCAATAATATTTGAATTAATAGATATTACTACTTTACTATTTCCAAATGAACAAAAGTAACCAGATTTGTCCAAAGCAGAAACAGAAACTAAATTTCGTCTAAAAGACGATACAACAAATGTATCTATTAAGTTCAAATAGTGACTAGTTCCTAATAATAATAATTGAAAATGACCGATTGCTTCCACGTCTACCGTCTTGCCATCTCCCACATAAATGCATCTTTCAGCATTAGTTAGCTTTCAGTAGCTCAGGCAACCTTGCATAGAAACACTTATATGAATAGTTGCACCAGAATCTAACCATCAAGTGTTTCTAGGTACTGAAGCTAAATTAACCTCAGAACAAACCAAAGTAAGAGGTGTACCTTTCTTTGCATGCCAAGCATGGTACTTAGTACAATTTTTCTTTTGATGTCCAGATTTCTTGCAAAAGAAACACTTATTCTTTTCTTGAGTAGGTTTCTTCTGATTTGGACCATTAGCAGCATCATATTTCTTTCTCTTTTTGCCCTTCCCCTTAGAGGTAGATGCAAAATTAGCACTTTCAGTGCTATTGTAACACCCTTAAAAATACAAACTAATTTTTCACAAATTATTAAAATCATTATCATGGTAGAAAATTTTCTTACCATGATACATTCAAAACATAACACCAGTCTTAAAAAAATCCAAAAAGGCAATTAAAATCATGAGGGACAGACATAATCCTTATGGTCATATAAATACTTTTAATAAAAAGGATTACAGTTTACATGCTCCACAAAAAAGATATGTCCTAAGTTGGCACAAGATACATTGTATAATCCAAAATAAGAGACAACGTAAAAGATGGTGTCTCATACACCATAGTTACACCTCTGGTGCTTTCTCGGCCGGACTCGCTCCTGTAAAAATGTTAACCACGGGGAATGAGACTTGAAAGTCCCAGTAACCAAAAATTAATATGTAATGATGCATGCGGATGTAACTAATCATGCGATTGCTAAGTGAGCACACAAAATATTTAACCAAACAATATTTTCAAACAAACCAAACAAGTATTTAATTGCATGACTATACCTTATATCCTCCTTTCACCATGCTCGGACGCCAAGTCATTCGGCCAAAGGTGAGTTGGACCAAGCGACACGCCACTCATTGGGTCCAATGAGGGCTTACCACGTGGTAATAATTAACCGAACAGAAATTTTCATTAACACCATACATTAAAATACCCTGACAAGTCATGCATCATTCAAATATCCAAACAGAAATATATCCGAACAATAATATCTCATCATCATAAACAAAAATAAATTTTTAACCCACTTGACAATAATTTCAAATAAGTATATACAGTATTTATTTTTAATAATTCATAATTTTTCCCAAACAACAAAACAACACATAACCATTTATAAACACACCCATCACAACACATTAATAATGGTTACCTTGTGTCTTGAATAACAAGTTCCCCTTCACAACTCCTTTTTCACCACTATCTTTGTCAATATAATCTACATAATTATTTCACAATACTATATATTAATTTTACATTAAAATAAATAACTCTAATTTAAAGAATTAGAAAGTCTTAGATCTATAATCCATATTAATACTAATTTAAGATTTATGCCTCATTTAACTTCCCAAATTCTTTTTCTAAAATTCTCATACCCTAATAAACTATTTTTTTTAATCCTCAAATCACTTCTAGTATCACAATTTCATCCTTCTATATTCTAAAAATTCATCCAAAAATAAATTAAAAATTTTAAAATTATCCTGAAATCTCAAATCACCTTTCTATAACCTCAAAAATATCTATTCATACTTAAATAAATATTTAATAATCAGAGGTTTATCCCTACATCTCAGATTCCACATAAATTCAACTATATAGATCTAGATTTTAACTCAAAAATTCTTAAACATGAGTTTTAACCTCAAGAAAATATTTTATAATATTTATTATATCCCTAAGAGTTTTAACCTATATTTTTAATCCATCATATCATTAGATTAACTATCCTATAAAAAAAATCCTAATCAGAATATTTACTCTATCCTACAAAATAATCATATCACTAAAAAGCTAATATTATTTAGAAAATAACTATAAAATTAATTTTGTAATTAAATAAATTTTTTAAATGCTAATCTAAACAGGAAAGTTAGAACATACCTGAAGAAAAAGAAAATAATCCCCCCTTGCAAGAAGACGCCGATCAACGTGAGAGGAAGAGAGAAAAATAATATAAAAATGGGATTGTGGGTCCCAAAATTATATTAAAAAAAATTATAGGTTTGAATTTAATTATTCAAACCTTTAGACCATTACTTGCAATTTTCACAAATTGCTTTTTAGGCTCTTAGTTGCAATTTTTACAAATTACAATAAATAATTCCTTATGCTTCCTCCACAATGCACCTCCTCTTTTTATACATGAAGAGGTGCCTTTCATTCCCACATCTAACCGATGTGGGACTAAACCCCCTCCCCTTTTTTTTTTACTTTCTTTTCTTTTTCTTTTTTTTAAACTCTCACACACACATAATAATTTTTTTTAAATCTTAAAATTATATCTTAACAAAATATTTCTTATATAATTTTAAATTTAAGTTTTTAAATTCATAATTAAATGCCTACCCATATTATTAAAATAACCTCAAATAATATAAATTCCTATTATTATCATCATTTTAAAAAAACTTAAATTTCATAATTTTTTTTATCGAAAATTTAGGATGTTACAGCTATCATATTTTAGTCTCTCCTC